TTTTGTCTATTTATAGTTCCCTACACGTTCTTGAGAAGATTGGAGTCTTTTTATGGGTTTCTCACGACCCAAATCAATAAAAACCCTACTGGCGGCGCAGCGCCTAGGCGCAGCGAAAATTGTCAAGGCGCTGCCATGCTGCTTCTGTAACGGGCAGCGCCCTTGCTGTTATTCTTTTTTACAACTTTTCCCGGAGCTTGGGCGCTCCGTTTATGGTGCCTCGGCACCAATTTTCTGCCTCATTTTTCCACTTTGGCTAGTTTCTACACTTCAATACCCCCTTTTCACCTCTTTACCGTACCTTCAAAACAACACTAGCAAACACATTAAAACGTTCTATAATCGTAAAATTAAGCCAACAATTAAGCTAAATTAGGTATAAAACTCGTGCGTAAAACACACTTATCAATGGTATTCATAGTATTGACACAAATTCTAATCTTGAGATCAACTACTGGCTATCTAGCCAATATTTGTTGAGTTAGACTATATTTTGTTTGAGGACAAATAAATATTCAAGTTTGGGACGTTTGATAAGTGTATTTTGTAAACTTATTTAAACCACTAAATTAAAGTATTTGTTGGAGATTTTGATTAATTCCATCTCAATTCCATGTAAATTGTGTTTGCTAGGTAAAGATTGATGAAAATCACAAAATTGGAGAAAAGGAATTAATATGGACTAAGTTATAAGAAATTCAAAGTTCGAGAATTAAAGTGCAAATACTCACTAATGCCCGATGAAGGAAGGACAAGACCTTCTTTATCAAGGCCCCGGTAAATCCTCTAGGTCGTAGCTCATAATCATCTAATGCTGGAGTCTTGATTGGTTTTTGGTTCTCGCTCACCCGATATTGGTTTGAGGGACTAGTTCGTAAGCAGAGGTCGAAGATATAATTTTTTTCTCGAACTCGTATCTTTCTCATGTATGGTGCTAAGGCCAATGAAAACAAGACAAGCCCTTGTTTATTCAAGGCCCCGATAAGTACTCTAGGTCGTAGCCCATTATTATCTGGCGGTGAAGGTATTGGTTAGCCGTAGTCTTTGCTAACTTAGCTCTTTAAGGCCTAGCAGAAGCCGGTGACTAAGACGTAGATTTGACTCAAAACCTGATTCGCTTTCATTTAAAGTAGAAGGCAACGAATAATGAATAGGAAAGCAAATAGGATTTAGGACAAATTAGGACAAATACTTGGGATTCCATGAGTGGCCAAAAGGAATTATCGCCCTTAGCAAGAATGGGATTTCTTCTTAGAATACGGCAGAAGAATCTCAGTAAAAATATATGTAATGGAGACAACATCATAGATGATTGTGCTTTAACTGTTGCAAGAAAGCCTGGACACTTTGATTCGTGATTATCTAGTGACGAGGAAAAGTATGGCTGTATGTCCATGGCGATCCGCGACAACCGCTTAACCCCTGAGCCTCTGCCCGAGATCATCACCATCAAAGAAAAATCCGAAGTTATGCCATGAAGATGGCATGTGATTCGAGAGGCTTTATACACAACGGAGATGATCTCTATAGCTGCAGCCTGCACACAACCAACACAAATTATTTCACATTCATAGGTGGGACACATCCAGATTCAAACACATCAACATATTGGATTATGACATATCACACATTCCTGTGTTTTTGTAATCTCGTAAGTGACACCATAGTTCAACTATAGAACCCCAGACAAGAAAGAAAAAAGGAATGCGTGTATACCAGGAAAAAAAAAATGGTCCCAACAAATAGAATATAATGATATGCTTCGTTTCACTAGACAAGAATTTATTTTTTACAAACATATCCACCATGTTATTTGTTAGAAAAATAAAATATCAAACTTTTGATGTAGTTACTTGTACACATATCTCACATAGAGATTCTAAAACGGTACAGGTGTCCAAAAAAATTGTGTCAAGATTGGGATCAGATAAATGTTCGTTATATTAACTTCAATTGTGAAATATTTGACAAGAAAATTGGAGATCCCCAATTCTGGAAACCGGATTCTCTGATGAAATTAAGGAAACAATTTGATACTTCAAAAATTATTTTAACCCCAAACACACCTTCTTCATGTCGATAGTTCTCCGTTGAGTGTTTAATTTGGGATGAAATAAATTTAGCATGATGTGTGATCTTGGAGTAACTATTGCAGAAGGTATATATAAAAGAAATATACATTTTGTGTAGTGCACACAAATATTATACTTAAATGGAGTATATGTAATTTTTTCCCTTTACAACATCCCTAAACCAACATGGAAATTTATCCCTCTACGACCAATACGATCCGAAATTTTATTCAACTAAACAAGCAAACTAATCTAACTTATCTAGAAAGGAAAGCAAACGGCCTAGAAAATCCCTTCCCTAAAGCTTGTTTTTGTACCAGTATACACCTTTCTTCTGGTCTCCCTCATCTTGTTCCACATAGACACACTCCTTGACTTCTCTCCACATTGCCTTAAAAATTGGTGTCCTGTCAAACTGATAGTAATTCCCTAATATCGGCTCGATTGCCTTGGTCGCCTCCATTGCATGATAGTGTGGCATTGTCGAGAAAAGATGGTGCGCCACATGAGTATCTGTTATGTTGTGGAATACCTTGTTTAGAATCCCGTAATCTCTGTCAGCAGTTGCTAAAGCTCCGCGTAACCAATCCCACTCGGTGGAATCATAATGAGGCAGCGCAGGATGGGTATGCTGCAAATAAGTGATCAAGACTAGGAATCCATTGACGACGAGCAATGGACCACCATAAACACAAAGAACCCAAGCAAGTCCTTTAGATGCCACAAGACAATAAAGCCCATAAATGACAGCTAGAACACCAGCATCAGAAATGAGGATCAACATGCGCTCACTGTCCAGGTAAATCGGGCAATGAGGGTCATAGTGGCACGCAAAACGTTCATAATGTCTACCTGAGACATTGAACAGTAAATATAGAGGCCACCCTAAAGTTAGCTTGACAAGAAGTAAGATAACTCTGCCAGGTGGATTGTTCCGAAGCTTGGCAAAACCTCGGATTTCAGACTTGACTTTGGGTACAAATACTTCATCGCGCTCCAGGGAGCCAGTGTTTGAATGGTGGCGCCTGTGACTGAATTTCCACGAAAAATATGGAACGAGGAGAGCAGAATGTAGGATAAAGCCAACAGCGTCATCAAGCCATTGGTAGTTGCTAAACGCATGGTGGCCACATTCATGGGCTATGACCCAAACACCAGTTAGTACACAACCTTGGCACATCCAATAGAGTGGCCAGGCTAGGTTGCAGAGAGGTTGAGGTAGGTTTTGGAAATATTTGGTGGCAACATAGAAGAAGATAAAGGCAACGGTGAGGTCATATACGACATAGGAGAAAGATTGAGGAATAGATCGCAGGAAACGGTGGGGAGGGATGGCTTTCTTGAGTTCACCGAGCGTGAACGGAGGTTTTGAGTGCGGAGCTCGTTGGAGGACATCAGATTTTGACTTCTTGCCCTCGGGAGGGACAGACGCTCGGCCTCCATCACTCATTCTTCAGTTACCTTACCTGCGGAGGGTACAGAAAATATTGAGTCAAAAAGTAGTTGCAACTGGCAGACTGAAGAAATAATAAGAAGACAATATGAAATTTCATTAAAAGGAATATAAGTATTAACCTGTACAGGAAATCAAATTGCAACAAATCTAAGAGGAAAAACTAATAAAAATTGGAATGCACATTGAAGATCCTATATAGAATAAGAAATCTGCGGCCTTATTTTCTAGAAATAACTATGAAGCAAATTTACCTTGGTGAAGAATACGAGGGCAGATATTTTGGAAAAAGCCCCTTGTACAATTCTCAATGGACTGTACAATTAATCAGTGGAACCCACACTAATCAGTGTGGGCTGTAAATGCACCGTCAATTAAGTACTGTACACGCAGCAAAAGATATTTTTGTGGAATTCAACTTGTCAAATTATTACAGCATTCAGTCTCATCAAATAAAACCGTACTTTTGAAAAGTAATCCATTGTGCACTGAGAGTTTTTCTAACTTGTATTCCGATAATTCACATCAACAACTAAATGATTTGGTGATACATAAAGTACTTTTTAAATAAATATAAATACAGATGAAGATTTGTCGGTAATGCCATTTATTGTTTGACTTGATTTAAATAGTATTCGAACATTTTCAACAATTGAATCCGCGCTTGGTGGGTACTGCAAAAGCATAAGATTCGCATAAAAAGAATCAAGCTGGCCATTCATACTGCAAATCCACTTATTCTATAGCATGAGAAGCCGACATTTTTTTAGAACCACTTGACATGATACAAGTAGGCATTAAAATATCTATCTTATAAATTTTTTCTTAAAAAGCAATTAATGTTTTGTTGAAGAAAGCAGAAAAGTTTATGAACTAAGCCAACATATAATCATACCAATTGCATGCTTAGGTTTGTTAAACATAACTCTTAATCAAGGAACTACACAAAATGAGTATCACAACGAGCCGTCATACTGACGTTAACATATTTTTAGACGCTGGAGATTTTTTTATGATTCGTTTTAGGGCTGCACAAAAAAATTGCGAAACCGCAAATCGAATCGAAACCGCTAGTTTGAAATCGTTGGTTCGAGTCCACGTGGACCCGCGATTTATTTTCTCTCAAACCGAACCAAACCGTTTCAAAATGGTTTGATTTAAGTTTCAATTTTCAAAAACCGCATAAAATCGAATCGAACCGTTTTTTAATTTAAAAAAATAATTTTATTAACTTACAAGTTTCAAAGTTTTCACTTTTTAGAAAAAAAAAATATCAATTTATCAATATAAATTACAACTAACCCATTGAAAAAATCATGTAAAGTAAATTAAGTTCATCATTATTGGCCGATGATTTTATAAGTCCACAACACGTCCTTACCCGTTATCTAATCTAAACTAAAATTAATCACAAATCATATGAAAAAAAATATATATTTTCAACAATCCAAATCATAATTAAACAAAATTACGACGGCAAATCACGCACACAACTTCAGAAGCCCTAACCTAAACTCTCATTTCTCAAACATTTGATACTTGCCTACCACTGCTGAATAAAACGCGATTTTCAATCGCAAATCGCTAGTCGCTTTTTGCATGTTAGACTGCTAATTTCTATCTAAATTACATCTTTCTCTTTTCTATCTTGATAAGTCTTAAATTCTCATTTAAGTCATTTTTTCATTGTTCTTTCTTTTATTTGTTGTTTTTGAACTTATTATACACTTGTGAGTTGTGCTTTGGATAAAAAAAAAAATTGATTATTTGTGTGCCTAGGTAATGAACTTGTTTGTGGTTTAGAAAAAACGAAAGATAGAGTGTATTGATTGCCTGAAAATGTTAAAATTCCCTAACTAGTACTACTATATTCTACTTTCTTAAAGTCGTTAGAGAATAAAATTTGTCAATTTCCAATAAATCTGAACTCTATCATTTTTTGTATATTTAAACATATCATATTCAGTTCTTATTTTTCATCTCACTGGTAGGACAAAAGGAGTTTTAACCAAACTATTACAGCAGAATGTGGCTCTATCTTTGACAACATGAAAGAAGGAAAACAAGAAAATGTAAATAAAAAGGAAGAAAAATATATTCGTTCTATTANTTTAATATTATTAGTTCTTGTTTAAGTATATGCTAACTTATTATAATGTCGATAGGTAAATCACAGATTAAAACCGAACCAACACGCGAATTATGGTTTGGTTTGATTTGAAAAAATTTCAAACCGCATGAAATGGTTTAAGTTGAAAATATGGCACAAACCGTCCAAATCAAATCGCGTTCACCCCTAATTTGTTTTGCATCTATTCATAAAATTTCCATATCATTATTTATTTATTATTATTGTTTTGTGGTATCAAACCATATCTATCCTCATATTCTCATATGAATTTTAATTTATACCATATATATATATATAGCCTATTTTATAATTAACCATACTACATATATATTGTGGTTGACATCAAGATTTACACCCTTCCATGTGACTTCATCTATACCATTGATTTTGACGACAATCATCAAATCGTTGTCCACATTTCTTCCACATTGGAGAGGATGTCGAATAAGGTCTGAGAATATACATATAGTATTATTCGTTTCATAATAGACTTTGTAGTTTTACGCTTTAACCAGAATAAAAGTTTTAAAATAAATATTTTAAATTAAAATTAATAACCTACCTAAATTACGGGAGATTTTCATAAATTGCCGGTCAACTTAGAGGTTTTAGGTATTTTGTTAAAAAGTTAATTTTACCCTTAATGAAATGGGTTTTTATTGCAAAACATGTTCTCAAGTTTTAGAATAGTTTTAGAAACTAATTTAATTATTTTTATTCGTCTTCACTGGATTTTTCTTCTTCAAAAATTTCTTCATCAGTT